GCTCCTGCGGTGCAGGTGAGCTGTGGGCGTAAAGGAAAACGTCTGCTCGCGCTTCTGCAGCCGAGAGAGGAGGACACAGATGATGAAACGTCGCGCCAGGCACAGGCTTTGCTAACGACGGCCAACGCAAGTCACTCGACTGATGATGTAGTTCCTGCTTCTCCAGAAGCGGCCGCAGCAGAGGTTGTGGAGGTGGATTCGCAGGAAGCCAGTGTGTCGTGCCAGGGCAATGCAGCGCCGCCGTTGGAGGAACGTCTTTGCCTGGAAGATTTGTGGCGGCTCATGTCGTTCTTCGCTTTGGGCGTAGACCCTTTTGCCAACCACATAGCGGAAATGTCTTCGTCCGATGACGCATCCGCTCTGAAGAGCACCACTGAGAAGTCTCTTGCTAATCGTTCTCGCACGACTGTCGGATCGTGTCATCAAGCGAGTTCGACAGAACATACAAAACAGTCACCCCCATCAGAGGCACAGCCTGCACCCAGTGCCGATAAGCCGTCTGGAAAAAGCAGAATTGCGTCTATTCGCTCGCGTGACGGGACGACGTATCCTGTTGAGACAACGAAGGAGCTGCAGCAGGTGCTCCTATCCGCTGATGCAATGGGCAGAACCACTGGAAATGAGGCGTACACGCGAGTTCTGACCGAGAAGGAGTTCGCGGAGGCCGTCAAGGCCGTCGTTCCAAGTGCCACAGACGAGGAAATCATGGATCTCATGATGAAGGTTGACTACGAGGCAAAAGGGCGTACCACGTGGGATGACTTTTCAACGTTTTTGGTTTCTCGGAGCCGGCAACGCTCCCAACTCGAAGAGGCCACTGTTTCCCAGATGATCACGCAGCCTGAACCAAATACGTGTCTCCCGTCACTGCAGCATCTGACGGGTACCTGCATGGAGGCAGATGCGCGACGTAAGTTGCTGCTGACGGGTGGATCAGAGGGTACGGTGCGGGCGTGGAGCCTCGATAAACTGGAGAGTCGTGGTGTCGTTTTCGCTGGAGATTCCTGGGTTGTTGGCGTACACTGGGCGAACCAGCTTCAGTGCATCCTCATCGTAACGTTGGACCGCAAGTTGATTGTTTTGGATTCCAAGACTTTGGAAGTGAAGCGGCTCTATCGTGGTCGTGCGATAGTAGATTCCGTGGATGGATATATGTATGCACACGACAGCGTGCGGTCGGTTAAGGTAGGAGGGAGGATCAAGGCACAGGGAACGCGGCACGGCGCAGCAGGCGATGATATTGGTATTGGTGGAGAGAGGACTAACGGTAACACTTTTGGTAGAACTCAAGGCACGTCTCCATTGTGGCGCCCTGGACAAGTGAAAAAGAAGAAAACACCCGAGGCCACTGCGACATTGGCGACACCTGGAACAGGACCATACGTGCAGTGCTCTGTAGAGGAATGCCTTTTGGCTGGTCTCGTGGATGCTGTATCGTGTTCTCTTTTCCACCATTCCGCACTTCGTGAGGATGTGCTATTGCTGGCAACAGTAATTGGGGAGGTGCGCTTCTACGTGATTCCAAAAACTTCAAAGCGAGTGATCTCACCGCAGTCTGTAGTGCGCTTGCATGAGAAACGTATCAACAAGATGAGCATTATGTTCTGTACCAGTGCTCTCTTGACAGCATCGGATGACGGCACCGTTAAGATGACCTCGCTGGATACAGGATCGCTGCTGCGGACGTTTGTGACGTCGGGTCCTGAGCAGCATGCGGCGGTGCATGATTTTGCAGTGAATTCGCAATTGCGGCTGCTTGTGACAGTGGGCCCGGAGCGGTACGGCATAGTCTGGGATTTCTCTCACGAAACTCCAATGGCTGTGCTTGATGCACACAACAGCCCATGCCGGTGCTGCGCTGTGCATTCGAAGCATAGCCAAATCTTTACATCTGGAACAGATGGATCTATATTTATCTTTGACACGCAGGGTTATAGGCTGACACAGGTGCTTCACGTGCAGCATCTCACTCCCCAGCGTATTATGTACGATGAAAAGCATTTGCGCCTGCTGTGCCTGGCAACACACCCATATTTTCACGGGCGGCAGCGTCACGCGGCTACTGCGTGTTCAAGCAAGTATGAAGGCCACATGGCGGCGATGGTGGGTGTGATGTACAACAAGACCTATGATGTTATTGTCACCATTGACGTGGAAGGGCACGTTATGACATGGAAGCGGTATAACGGCGCCCCCGTGTTTACTTTTCGGCTGAAGGACTTCTCCGACTCCGCCGTGATGAATGCTGCGCGGCTCACATGTTTTGCGTTGGACGGGCTAGAGCGTCGTTTGCTCACAGGATTTCAGAACGGGGCAGTGGCGGTGTGGAACTTAGTGAATGGCCAGACGACAAACGTTATTACAGCAGCTGCAGAAAGTTTCGCTACGACCACCATTAGGCCGGAGGTGACGGCGCTCGCATCCTTGATGCGTGAAGGTATTACTTTTTTTATTTTCGCTGCCGCAGGACAGCTCTTCTCCACCCGAGAGTCGAGTACATTCACCATTGCAAGTGCTAGCAAGTGGGAGATGCCAGAGCGCTTTGGCGAGGTGCTCGCGATGCTGCCGGTGTCGCCACAGATTCTCGTGTGCGGTACCTCTTCCGGTGCACTTGTGTTCTACCACGTGCTGGCGGAACGGCAAGAGGGCTCTGCGCTCTGGGTGGTTGATGTCACGGAGCCTTTGCGCCGCTCGCTCCGCCCCTCCATCGAGGGACGGCGCAATGAGCCACAGGGCCCTGTGATCACCTCTCGCGTGATTAAGATGTTTCCACTCCAAACTGTGGGAGAACACATCCTCATGACGGTACACGCGGATGGCACCGTGGCACTGTGGCATACGCTACGCCGTCTATTGATGGACACTGCCAGTGTGCGAAGTGCGTTCCCGACAAATGGATGTGAGACAAGCTTGTCACACGTTTCGATGGATCGCGAGGATCAGCACATTGTATTTGCTGATGATCACGGTAACATTCACGTCTGCAGTCTTGTGCTCCGCGCGTCTCCCGACGAGGGATGCATGCGCCCACCACGTTTGCCGCAGCTTCAGAGCGGTAGCGGCACCGGCAGGCTGAAGGTGCGTTGGCCTGGATCACCCTTTGACAGCCAGGAGTTTGCGGATGACATGGAGGTTGGTACAAAGGTACGTGAGGACGGTGGGGAACAAACCGACGACAAACAACAGAGGATTGTAGAAGAAAAGACTCCCTATGTTTTTGCTGGTTTCTGCAGAGACTATGTATTTCATAGCGGGTTTTCATCAGTATCTGGTGTGGCTTTTATAGACTCCCAAAATAAAAGTGACACAGGGATAACAGCAGCAGAAGCAGCAGCAGCAGCAATGGATGCAAGGACTTCACCCGATATTCAAGTGGATACGAGAGAAGTAGGACCCATGCAGAATAAGGAGACAGGGACGAGACCCTCAACCGCCACTCCTAGTGGCACTACCAGTGGTGCCGTCCCATTCGCCTTTTCTCCACCTGTTAGTTATGGTGGCTTAATAGTGGTATCATCTGGTTCTGACAACTTCACGCGCCTGTTCACTTTCGACGGGACAATTATTGGAGAATGCGGGATGAACAAGTGGGCCTTGGGCAAAGTATCAACGTACGAATTCCTAGGCTCTAAACCGACAAGAAGGCTCCCACCGCATTACTGCTCTGTTGAGGTCGTAGATTTCTTGCAGGAGGGGCTTCTGATGGAAAAAAGCTTTGCTGCAAGCTACCGACGTAGTCGACAGGCACGTGGCCCACTTAAGGTGGGTAAACAACCTGGAGATTCCTTGTTGGCGTATGAGGTACCGGTTCATCATTCGTTGGCGAGTGCTGTTGATTCAAGCACCGTGTTGGCACCGGGTCCTGGTGGTTCAGCGTTAGAATGCCAGCAGGGAGACCGGTCTCCTGTGCAAACCTTGGCTGAGGAACTCCTGAAGCGGGTAGATCTTGGGCAAGAACAAAAACAGCCTCAGCGGTCGCAGCAGAGTCAGGGACGGACGCGATTTCTCCCGCTGTCAAAGTCTCCTCCACTTGATGAGATGACGACGCTGTCTACACAATTACGCTCTCGACGTGCGCGAGAAACACAAATGATGGGACTTGTCAAGGGCGAATATATTTCAAAGCTGCGCGGATTGCCTATTGTTGACACGGAGGATGACTCGACCCCTCCTGAGATACCCTCCGGTATTCTATATGGCACAAGAAGTCTCGTGCGGATTGATCAGGCTAGTGAATCTTCTGCCGTGCTCTCCGGAACCAACAATAACGTTACCCACGTCGCCGCAGTAGATAACACTGTCCAGGAAGGAGCATCTGTTGGTGTAGACACGTGGAGCTCCGCCTCGGCTACGACAGCTGTTGGAGGTGGTGTTGCTCATGGTGCAGGTTTGCAAAAGTTGCACCCAACATCATCGACGACAGGAGCGCGGAAATGGGCGCCGTCTGCTATAAACGAACCTGACACGGCACGAGCTGCTGCAGCGTCGGGAAATCACCACGGTGTGGTGTTTAGCAACGGTGTAGTCCCAGCTGAAGACGAATCCTCACGCAACGGCTTGATACAGGAACACATGCAGGCACAGCGGCGCATGCTGCTCATGTTGGGGCGAAAGGACTCTGTACTCGAGGGAATACTGCCCTGCACAAGCGGTACAAGCAACACTGGTTCTTCAATTGAGTCTGATACAGGGGCGTTCTGTGCTCATCTGCTCGCGTCACGCCGGCTGCAGTCGTCGGGCGTTACGGATGCAAAGTCTCGCGTGGCACAGATTTCTTCGCGAATGCGCTTGTTTCGTGTGGAGCAGATAATGCCACCGAGGGGGACGCGTGCGCGCGAGGAGGTCTCTGCATGGGATGAGAGAATGAAAAGCATGAACAGTCCTGACAACAAGAGGTAACGTGTAGAGATCGTGCATTGTTCCTGACTGGACCATTAAAAGAGACCCATTGCCCATTTTTGTGTGTGTTTGAAAAGGGACCTGCTTCTGCTACTTCCTGCCTTATGTGTTTGGTTTGGTTCTTAATGCATCTGAGGCTTTTTTTTGTTTTGTGGATTGGAAGGAGGAATGTACAGATGGAATGTATTGTGCTCATGTTTTCTGTAAATTAGGAGAGTGGCCCAGGAGATATACACTTTTTTGTTTCGGCCTTGCTACCCTTTTCTTTTCTTTTCTTTCTTTATATATGCTCATTTGTGTGATGTCCCTGTCCTTTCTGTTTTTGTATGCCAGCGTCTGTGTGTGTGTGTTCTATTCCTACGCTACCGCGAGGCTTTTTTTTTGTAGTGTATAAAAGTGGAGCACTGCGTTCAGCATATAATCTCGTTGTAAAAAGTATATATATATATATATGAACTGCTTTTTGTTTTTTTTTCCTCACGCCCTTTAATGACCTGTTCATCTTCACCTTCGTGTGCTCCCCCTTTCTTTGTTGGCATGTCTGTGTCTCTGTGTGTGTGTAGCCGGTGTGCTTGAGGTCTTGAGGGGTAAGATAAGAGGCAACAACTGCGGCAAATGCCCGGTACGATGAAGCCAATCATAACGTCCATCCTGGACACGGATGCATACAAGCTGCACATGCAGCAGGCCGTTTTTCACCTCTATCCGACCGTTCGCGCCACTTTTGAGTTTCACTGCCGCAACGAGGACGACCACCTTGGTGACGCCGCTGATGCTATACGCGAACAGGTTGCACTGATGAATAATATTGCGCTAACTGATGATGAATACAATTACTTGTCATCGAGGCGATTTATCCGCAAGGACTACCTTGATTGGCTCCGCACGTACAGGTTTAACCCACAGCAAGTGACCGTTAACGCGGTGCCGGCCAACGGTGGTGAAACGGATCTCGCCATCACAATTGAGGGGCCATGGGTGGAGACAATTCTCTGGGAGGTTCCGCTGCTCGCCGTCGTGAGTGAAGTGGTGCACCAGCAGCGCACACCACATATTGGAGTGGCGGAGGCGGTTGCGCATCTCGAGCACAAACTAGATGTGTTTTTTGCCAGCACACCAGCTAAGGAAATTGAAACCTTCTGTGTCAGTGACTTCGGCGCTCGCCGCCGCTACAGTTATGCTGTCCAGGAGACGGTTGTGAGGACACTACAGTCAGACCCTAGATTTTGTAGGCACCTCTGCGGCACCAGTAACTACCTTTTGGCAATGAAGCTGAACCTGCCAGCAGTTGGCACACAGGCGCACGAGTGGTTTCAGGCGCACCAGCAACTTGCACCAATGCTGTGCGACTCGCAGCGGGTGGCGTTAACGCGGTGGCTGAAGGAATATCCGCACGACCTTCTCGTTGCGCTCACTGACTGCATCTCAATGGACAGTTTCCTGAATGACTTCACCAAGGATCTTGCTAACGCCTACATGGGCCTCCGCCACGACTCAGGCGACCCGTTCGAGTGGGGACGCAAAGCTGTGGAACACTACCAGCGCCTCGACATCGACCCCAAAAGTAAGACGCTCGTCTTTTCTGACTCACTCGACCTCGAGAAGGCCGCAAAGTTGCACCGAAGATTCTCCAACGAGGTGAACGTGTTGTGTGGGGTTGGGACGCAGTTGTCGTGCTCCATCCCTGGTGTGCGCGCACTGAACGTCGTCATCAAAATGACACGCTGCGAGGGAAAGCCAGTTGCAAAGATCTCAGATGCACCAGGAAAAAGTATTTGCCGCGACACCAACTTTATTCGTGAGCTGCAGCGTGCTTTTGGCCTCTCCAAGATGGCGATTGCTGCTGCAGCAGCAGCAGCAGCAGCCGTCTCCATGGACGATGGCATCCGCAAAGCGTAATGTCCCGCGGCGGGAAAAGCAAAGAAAAAGGCAAAGATTGAATGTCATGTTTGTGGTGTCTTTATTTACTTATTCAACCAGGAAGGATTCATGGGGCAATAGCCCAACACAAAAGACGATGAATTAGGCCAAGAGAAACAAGAAGGCCCAAACGAAAACAAAAAAAAAAGAATAGGCGAAAGAAGGGGAATATCTTCTTTCGATCTGCAACATAGGGAAACTCACTCACGTGCGCACCAATAATTGCACTGCTTCATCTATCATTCCGGCTTGTCTCCAGCAGATTTGTTGCACTGCGACGAGGAAAGACATCCAAACAGCAAAGGCGATAAACGTCCGTGTGTGTTGTGTGTGCCTACGTGACTCAAAAAAAGAAAATATGATTGTCTCGGATATATATATATATATATATATACAGATATATGTATGCAAACACAAATTGCGCACACAAGCAAATAAGACACGAAACTAAAAAAAAAACAAAAAACAAATAAAACGATGCTCATATATGAGCTCGTGATTTCATGCATGAAGTTAATACGGAATGCTTCTCTCTCTGTGAGTATGTGTCTGTGGGGGCGTTTGCGTGGAATGATGAATGAAGCGGAGTGAGGGAAGCTCTCGTTTGATATCAGTCAATCATTTTTTCTGCCTGTGTGATTGCATGTTAGGTGAGTGTCGGTGCGTCTGTGTGTGTGTGTCGGTGCTTGTGGGGAACACCGAAATATAAGGCACGATATGTGCTCCTGCAATTGTTTTTAAAAAAAGTGAGCAAGTAAAAGAAGTAAATTTTGTTGGGGTGCGAAGGGGTAGGGAAAAGAAGACGAGGGGAAGGAAGGGGAGATGCGCTGCGGGTGGTGGTGGTGGTGGTGTGGGCCGCGTGGTGGGGGTTGCGGAAGGAAGCTGGTGAGGGGATGCTATATATCAAAAAAGAAAAGGAACCCCCACTCCCCCCCCAAAAAAAAAACAACTAGGCAGCCGCCCGCACACCCCACTTGGGGCCCAGCACTCCATACATTCCTTCTTTTTTTTTCGTTTGTCGCTTCTTTTTTTCTTCTTTTCGCTCTTTTTTGTGTTTGCCCAATGATTTTTTTTTTCTTTTTCTTTTTTCTTTCTCTTCGGTTTCTGTCGTGGTGGTTGAGTGCTCACTCAGTCGTTTCCTCCGGTGTGGTGGTGGGAGGTGCGAGGGGAGGTGGCGCATGATTGTGCCGGTGTGTGTTTTCGCTGACGTGGTTGCTGCAGTTCCTTCTTTTCTCTTGGTCACCACACACGGGGAGACACACACATGCACAGACAAACACGCATACGCTGCTGCTTACGTTTATTAGCGTAGGAGAGTACTGTGCCTGTCTTTATATTCTCTTTCCGAGAACAGTTCACTTTGGCCTTTCTGGCGTATGGTCCTGTTCGTTCCTCTTATCCCGGACAATTTATTCCTCTTCTTTCTTGTCTCCGCTCAACCATTCTTCGCCCCCTCTTTCTCTCTCTCTCTCTCTCTTTCTCCCCCCCCCCTTTCCCGTTACGCCTTCAAACAACGTTTGCATTGGGAGCAGTGCGGGTGGAAGAGGGAATTGGGACGTCAAGAAGCGTAATGCTGGAGCGGGCCGTGCTGGAGGGCCACGCGCTGCAGCTGTGGGAGCTTCCGGCCCGCCTCCACGGCAATGAGGCGCTGCTGCGCGATTTTTTTGTGCGACACTTCGACCGCACGCCAGCGTCTCGCATCAAAACAGTTGCGTTCGGTGGCAGCGACGATGAAGACGAGAATAACCACAGCAACGGGGGCGGTGGGAGGCGCAGCAAATCGCTTCGTGTGGGTGGAGAGGCGATAGTGGAGTTCTTTGAGGAGGACGGTGTGAAGCATGTGTTGTCGCGCATTATTCAGCACGAGTTACTCGAGCGGGATGAGGCGAGTCACATTGAGCTGCGGCGCGGGTTTGTCTACCTGGGTCACGACCGTCTGCTGGTGGAGGGTGTCGTGCATCTGGTGCAATTGCCAGATGCCTCTGACAGCACCGCGGCGGCGGCAGCGGTGGGGGGTGGCGCGGCACAGCATCGCGGTTTTCCTGCGGCACCGCAGCGTGAAGGAGGTGCTGCCAGTCGTACCGATGGTGGCACAAGAAAGAATCTCATGGAGAAGAATGACTGGAGCACCGAGGAGGACAATGATGACGACGACGACGACGACGAGGAAGAGGATGATAACGAATATGATGAGGAGGAAAAGGAAGGCGGCAAGGAGGAGAGGCACGCGGCGGTGAAGAGAGTCGCGTCGCTCCAGCAGGAGAGGCCGGCGGGAGGGGCGTGTGCCGTTGTGCTCTGCATGACGTTTGTGTGCACGTTTAATCGCCACCGCCGCGACTCTGCTCGGTCACACGAGGGCGAGAATGACTTTGGCGTCACGCCTCATGTTATCTTTCAGTTGTTGCGCGGCACCTGCCTTGTCCGCAAGGTTGTTATGTTCCGCCGCGACTCCACACATGAGGGTGGTGGTGGCAGTGGCACTACCGCGGCCAACGGCAACGCGAACCGCCAGATGGTGCGGGCGCTTGTTGAGGTGGGTGATGAGGAGGAGGCGAAGCGCGTGGTGAACGCCTTCCACGCCACAACACTGGAGCTGGCGTGCCCTGCACCAAACGAAAATGAGACAGAGTTCCGTTGTCGTGTGTATACACGATACGACGATGACGCTCGCGCAAACAGACAGCTCGCTGTGCCAGTGAACACGCATTCGGCACTCTGCGTGACGCCGCAGAACCTCGCGATGATGGGCTCCACGTTCCGGCGCTGCAGATACGACGAAGACGCGCACGGCGGCGACAGGATGGAAGGAGGTGCCGCGGCGGCGCGTGATCTGGTGCATGGCGGGTGGCAACACCGCGAGGATGGTGCCACACGGCACAATGATGGCGAGGAAGATGACGGCCACGACCGCGGCAGAAGGCGCCGCGAGCGGTCGAGTGAGGAGCGGCACCGTCACCGGCGACGGCGACGGCACTCCCACGAGCGGCGAAAGCATAGTTCGTCGCGGCACCGTAGCCGAAATCGCGATTCCCGCAGGCGAAGTCCCAGCAATGAGGATATGCACGGGGCGCATCGCCGGTCAGCGTTAGCGACAATACCGGACGCCAGTAGCCATCATGGATATCTCTACCCGCACCAGCAGTATCGGGAGCAGCAGCAGCAGCAACAACGGCAGCATCAGCAACAAGAACAGGAGCAACAACTACAACTACAACAGCGGCAACCTACAAAGGAGGTGCTCCCGCCCGGGTGGCGCGCTGTCTACTCGGAGCAGTACCAGAGGATGTACTACGTGCACCGCGACCCGGTGACGGGTGTGGAGGTGTCCTCGTGGGAGGTGACGCCCATGCCGTGATCGGGTTAGTGGGGGAGGGGAATACGGAGATCGTACGATATCTGCTGCTTGGGGAATGCGGTGAGTGAAATCAGCATTGAATGTGGGAGTGTAGGGCAGAAACGAACAAGAAAAGGAAAGTAACGTCACTGAAAAAAAGTTTAAGTCAATTATGAACAAAGTTTTCATATACGATCCTTTCATATATATATATATATATACATATATATATATATAGTATTTACACATATACAGCATGCCCTTTTTCTCGTTTGTTTGTTTTTTTGTTCTGCCAAAATTTATCGAATCTTCCTGCGATATACTCAGCAGGTATATATACACACACTTAGATACGTACAATAGGAATACCAAGATCTCATGAGGGATGCCAGACCAGCTGCTAGTGCTTATCGGATCTGATGGCAAGCGTGTTACTGTGAGCCGTTCCGCCGCAACGCAAGCCTCTTTGGTGCTGCGCGACCTTCTCGACGGGAGAGAACCGACGGGAAATATCCCAAGTGGGCCCAATGAGGAGAATGGCAACGTTGTAGTCGATACAACCAGGGGACAGGTGGTGCAGGGAAGCAGTAGCAGTAGAAGCATTCCAGTTGTTGAGCTCCCATTTCCGTACTTCACTGGTGATATTCTTCAGCGAGTCTGTGCGCACATAACATACCGATACAACTATCAGCCGCCTAGTAAACGGGCTAGTGGGGTAGCTGCGGGAATTAACAACAACAGCTCCACTGCATTGAGTGGACTCCCTATTCGAAATGTGATGCGTGAAATACCGCGGCCAATGATGTTGCCACTCAACGAATACTTAGACTCATTCGACAGATGCTTTTTGGAAGACTGGGATGAGGCAATCACAGTACTGATGGTGAAGGCTGCAACATTGTTGAATTACGAGGAGCTGCTGAACTTGGCGTCTGCAAAACTAGCGGTGTATCTGATGGAGAAATCGGTTGAAGGTCTCCGTGCACTTTTGGGAGTGGAAAGCGACTTCACACCGGAGGAGGAAGTCTGGTTGAAGAAAGAGTATGAGAGACTACAAGATGAAAGGTAGAGGAAAGCATACGTGCTCCCCGGTGCCTCTGTATGTATGCGTGTGCCGCCTGGAGAAAAAGGAGGGATGACTCTTTGACTGACAGGTGGAGGAGCCAGTCCCCATACATACAGAGAGAGAGCGAGAGAAGTGCGCTCCTGGACTCTTCTTCAAGAACGGAACAAATCGGTTCACTTCTCCGGCTATAATAAAAATTTTCAATAATGGCAACAACACGCGTAGGGCTGTAATATTTTTCTTTTCTTTCCTTTCCCCCCCTCCCCCCTCCGCTTTCTTGCAAAGGAACTAGCGCGAATAGAGTGCTTCCTGCCACTTTCTTTTAAGGGTGGGTTGGATGCAACACGAGCCCGCCGTGGTGCATATTCACAGTGGTGGGGTGCGTGAGAAGGCTGCGGATGGACCCGCGCAGCGTCTCGCAAATATTGTAGGTCACAAGCGGTTGGACCTGTTTGTCTCTGAGATAGGGGGCCACCATGGGCTGCTGNGTCTGTTTGATGTCCGCTCAGAGGACCCCAAAGCGTGGAGCGGAGCTGCTGCCTTTCGTGGTGGTGTGTTAGCCGGCTCTGTGCCGGAGCGGCGTCAACGTTTTGGCGCTAACAGGCTGCCACGCGTTCAGAAAAAGACTGTGTGGAATTTCATTAAAGAGTCAGTCGCAGAAGACAGAATACTGCAACTCCTCATTGCCTCTGCGGTTTTGTCCATTGTGCTCGGCCTCACTACGCCAGACTACCGTGAAGGGAAGGTAGATATGAGTACAGGGTGGGTGGAAGGTGCGGCTATATTTGTTTCTGTCTTCATTGTTGTTTCGCTGAGTGCGTTGAACAATTACAAAAAGCAGGAGCAGTTCTCAAATGTCATTGAGCGAGATGATCAGACCCGACGGCGTGTGCTTGTATGGCGCTACGAGTCTCTCGCAGGTGATGAACTTGGTTTGCGTAGTATGGAGGTGCGCAGCGAAGACATTGTGGTTGGTGACGTTGTGCAGATTTCAGCCGGAATGGAGTTGGGCTTTGACGCGATTTTGTTCGACGATTGTCACGTTGTGTGTGACGAGTGTAACGTGACGGGCGAGAGCGATGAGGTACTCAAGGATATGAATCATGACCCTTTCTTGATTAGCGGTTCCAGCATTCTTGATGGATCATCGGAGGCTGTAGCGATCGTCTGTGCAGTAGGAGAGAGCAGCTTTGCTGGGGAAATCGCCATGGCTATTCAGAATACTGAGAAGAATAACACACCGCTCCAGGATCAGCTCGAGTCGATGGCGGAGCGAATTGGTAAGTTTGGTCTCTTGGCGGCCATCTTTACCTTTGTTGCGCTTTTCCTCAAGGAGACTTACAATGTGGTGGTGCACGGCAGTCCATTCTTTGCCATGAAGTTTTTCGAGAACCTCACAACTGCTATCGCTATCGTTGTGGTGGCAGTGCCGGAGGGACTGCCACTCTCCGTAACTATTTCACTTGCTTACTCAATGCGACGCATGCTGCAGGACGGAAATTTGGTGCGGCACCTTGCGGCGTGTGAGACGATGGGTGGCGCGACGGTGTTATGCACAGATAAGACAGGTACCATCACGTCCCCTAACGTGAAACTGGTGCGTGTCTTCTTTGAGGGACGTAACCATGAGCGTCACAACGATACTTTCAATAGACCAGGCCTTCAGTCAGAAGCAATTGTAACCGCTTCATCCGTGAGGACGGCCACGCAGTTAATGGAGTGCGTTGCAATTAGTGCCTTGGATCCTGAGTTGGGGCGGGCACAAACTAAAACTGCAGAGGCCCTGATGCAGTTGGATTCAAACATTTGTATTGCCTCTGAGGGAGGGTCCGTGGCACCATTTTCCTACAATGTTGATCCATTGCTGGCTATCATGCGGGATAAAACATGCTGTGCACGATTCCCTTTCAGCTCTTTCCAGAAGAAGAGCACAACAGTCATTAAGCATCCGAGCGGGGTTGTGCAGGAGTATGTGTGCGGAGCCCCAGAGATTGTGCTGGAGAGGTGTCAGAACACGATGCTAGAGGATGGTCGCCTGGAGCCACTTGATGCCAAGAGGCGTGCCTACTACGAGAGTGTAGTGCGCAGCTACGCGCAGGCTGGCCTTCGTACAGTGTGCTGCGCCTACGGAGATGTGCAACACACGGAGGCCGCTATGCCACATGCCCCGCCTAATATACCGTTAAATTTTCTGGCAGTGATTGCACTGGAGGAGGTTATTCGATCAGAAGTGCCCAGGGCACTAAGTATGTGCGCCCGCGCTGGGCTGCGCGTGATCATGATCACTGGTGACGCACTGCTCACGGCCATCAACATCGCAAGCCGCTCCGGTCTCCTACGGATCCCAGAGACCACCAACAGTGAGGACCTAGGAGCCTGCCCCTCTTCCCCCCTTGTCGATACACTGATAACAGGTGGCTATGTGGTGGATGGGCCAGTCTTTCGAAGCCTCAGCGATAGCGAGATACTGAATAGATACATTGGAAACATCTGTGTTTTGGCCCGCGCAACGCCTCTCGATAAGAAACGTCTACTGCAATTGTTGAAGCGGTATGATCCTCTTGCCGTTGTGGCAGTGACAGGTGATGGCACCAACGACGCTCCGGCACTCAAGATGAGTGACGTTGGGTTTGCGATGAATAGCGGTAGCGATGTGGCAAAGAGAGCTTCTGATATTCTCCTCCTCAACGACAACTTTGCCGGAATGGTGAGCGCGACTATGTGGGGTCGAAATGTGAAGGACAACATCCGGAAGTTCTTGCAGTTCCAACTGACTGTGAACTGCGTGGCATGTCTTGTAGCTTTTTGTGGGGCGCTAATGAACGAGCAGAATCTCTCGCCGCTGAAGCCGGTGCAGTTGCTGTGGCTAAATCTTATTATGGATACGCTGGCGGCGCTGGCGCTGGCGACGGAGTTGCCATCTGAATCGACGCTTCTTTCACGACCACCTGAGCCGCGCAGCGCACCTGTCATTCTGCCAAGCATGTGGTTTCAGGTGGCAACTCAAGGTTGCTTTCAATTGTTCTCACAGTTATACATGCTTAGCTCCGGTTGTAGATTATTCACAAATGAAGACACTTCAAAGAAAGGGCGCCTCTCGAGCTCAGAAATTGAATATTTTGGACCGAAACATCTCTCTATTGTGTTTAATCTGTTTGTGTTGATGCAGGTGATGAATTTCTTTAACGCCCGCCTTTTGGATCGAGGGGAAAGCTTCTTTGGACGCTGTGAAGACAGCTCAGGCTTGCTGTTTATTGTATTCATAATTGTACTTGTGCAGGTGTTTATTGTGCAGTGTGGTGGTCGCTTCATGTCAACTGTTCCATTAAGCATGAACGAGTGGCTTTTCTGTACACTCTATGCAAGTGGAAGCCTCGTCGTTGGGGCCTTGTCCCGCTTCTGGTGGTGGCGGTGGCGTGGAAGAGTTCTGAATGTCGGCTGCAGTGATGATGCGTTCGCTGCTCGGCAGCGGTAGAAATGCGCTGTGAATTGAACTGAGCGTAGGCGAGCGGATAAACAATACGTGATTTCGAGACGGATGCGATGCCAACGGTGATTATTATGATGCGTGTGAAAATATAGGGAGGCATTTATATATACACTTTCATCCACTGAAGAAAGGCGAAAAAAAATTATGATCACAAAGCGTCCCAGAAATGCAGTACTTCAGAGAGCGTGGGGTAAAGACTGTCTGCTTTGTAGAGGAGATATGAAGAAATACACTCGCCTTTTCGTTGCAGGTGTGGGTGTGGGTGTCGGAAAGTTGATGGGCGTCTCCTGCGTGGAACTATTTTTCCCTCTTGTCTGATAAATTTATATATGGGTCTCACTATTGTTGTTGCTGTTGATGTCTCCTCCGCGGCCTAAGCCTAATGTGGACTCTTCTTCCCGTCTGGTTCTTCACGCACATATTCGGATAGAGCGGCACAAAATCTCTTGGATTAGTTAGTGACGGCGGACAGCAGTAACGTCAGGACATAAGAAAGGAAGGAGAAACAGAAGGTAAATCCAAGAGAATCTTTTTTTGTTTTGTTGTTTGTGGGTGTGCGCGTGTGTGGCACGGAGGGATTCGCCCTTTTCTTTTGATATTATTGGAGGAGGGGAGTGAGGTGATAACGCCGCAAGTGAAGACTCCCAAACCGGGGGTTAACCAAAGAGCCGAACAGTGTTACATTCCAAGTGGGAATCACACACACACACACACACACACACACGCACTGCTGGACAACTCTGCGCCATCTGTATAACGACGACAGTGCATGAGACAACGACTGCATCATATGGCTGAAGCGAGTGTCGCAGAGGAAGGGATAGATTGCTCCGTGTTGCGGGATAACTGCCAAGTGGCATCTCCCGCTAGGGAAGGTGCACGTCGGAGAGGTGTCAACGACAAATACCACAGCCCTGGCAGCAGTGTACCAAGTGGCTCCGGTTGCACGTCCCCTGCCAACCACCAACAAAATGCCGATAATGCCGTTGATACCAGACCCATCGCGTCACTTTTTACTATGTTTGATGTGGATGATTGCGGTGCCTTGAGTGCCCCGCATGGCGCTTCTGCTGTTTCCGCTGCGAGTCTAAGCAGTCATCCATCTTCTATAGCATATGATATGGGGAGCCAAAGGAATGGCTATGCGTCGAGTGTGAGTTATTCTTGTCTCCCGCGACGCAACTGCACGGATGCATCACAGACAAGGGAGGGTTCCATTACAGGAGATCTGAATCGCCCCTGGCAGCACAAAAATCAACGACCACCGCAGTTGTCACAGACGCACCTCAGTTATCCCGCGCCGTACCGCACGCTGGGGTTTAATCCCTTTTCTGTGTATGGCATGATGAGTTCGCCGGATATGGCCACCAAGTCTCTTGCTGCAGTTAGTACAAAGCCACAGCACGAGCCGTATGGGTACAGCTCCAATATGATATCACCTATCTCTGCTGGCAATCCGCTGAGGACCCCGCGCGACGGCACATCTCCATCTCACATGTCAGCTGTTGCAATGCAGACCACCACCGAAGAGGATGACAATGTGACCGTGACAATCCGGCCGAAGATGCGACGTGCCTCTGGCTCCGCTGGAACTGGCCTCGTGTTTGGAAGCCCGCACTTTCCTCACCAGTCTCACACACGTTGTACTCCAGGGGTGACGTCATTATGCTGCACTTCGCTCAGTGAAACTCAGACGAGAATAAATACAAGTGTATTATCTATCGAGGCGACGCCAATGAAGGACGATCCGCCACAACCTGACTTTGTGACACAAGCTCCCACATTCACGGAGCAAGACGGAAGACGTGTGTGCAGTGACGAAAAGTGCTCTATTGGCGATGTAGAATTGCCCCAGGCAGTACTCTCTTCTTCGGCGAAACCAAAAACTGTAACTAATGGTGAAAATAGCCACAAGAATGATAAAGAAGACGAGTTTAGAGAAAAAAGCAATTCTAAACAACAGCAAGTTTCCCTAAACGATGAACACTTACGAGTTGTCGTAGTGAAAGGGAAGTACCAGTGCAAGCGCTTTGTCACTGATTTGGATTCAGTAGCGATCGGAACGTTGGTGATTGTGGAAGGCGATCGGGGAGAAGACATTGGCACCGTTGAAAGCATCGAGGACTACGTAAGTGCTGTTGCAGCTCATGCAGCAGAAAAAGCAACTACACCTGTGGAGGACGGCGATGAATGTGCGAAAGACGCCACTGAGGAAGGGCACCACTTGAAGGGTGCCGTGACGGGTGCGGGGAGTAATCATAGCAGTAGAAGTAGTAGTGGCCACAGTGACAAGAACGCTGGCGCATCCAAATCATTTCCCTGCGTCTTGCGTGTGGCGACCGACGAAGATCGTACCAAGCTCGCGGCTCTTCGCGCGGAGGATGCCTCAGTTCTCCCTGAGGCAAGGCGAATTGTCACTTCCTTCACCAACAGCACCCCCTCTTCGGCGGGAGTGACCACCGAGGACGTTGAGTACCAATTCGACCGGCAGAAAATCACCATTTACGTGCGGCGACCTACCGAAACAGCCTTCGTGAACTTCCGACGTATACAGCGGCGACTGTACCGGCTGCTGAAGTGCCGTATTTGGCTCGCGTACATGGATGAGGTGGAGTCTGGCGAAGGTTTTGATGTGCAGAAACAGAAACGCAAGGCAAAGAAGAATGAAAAGCATGATGATGTGAAGGATATATTGGAGTGATTTTTCTCTCCGTATTTTTGTGTGTGTCTTTCAGTAACAGGGGGACAGAAGGGGTGGAGGGAAGCAGCACCGTTACTCCGTGACATTTGCCCGTTGCTCTTGATGTTATTGTATCGATGGATTATATATGGGCTCGTCAATAGATGTGCAAATACTCAAGTATGTGCATCTCTATATAGGTGTGCGTATGGTTGCATATATATATATATATTCTTTGTGTGTGTGTGTGTGTGTGTGTGTGCATGTCAGAGTGACTGATATCATGGTGCTTCGCGTGTGCTGCAGTAGTAGTTTCTGTTACGCTCATCACTCATCAGCACTACACCCCATAGCACCAGCTCACTCTCGCCATACATTGACAGGCATTTTTCTCTTTATTCGTTCACGTTGCCTCCAGAGGGCGTGGCTTTATTTCTCGTTTCTTTCACTCCCTTTATTTTCGAGAATGCTTCCGCTGCTAGTATGCGGATTAAACACTTTTTCCTCTTTTACATTCTTTATTCATTTACCAATATATATATATATATATATATAT